AGAGAGAGAGAGAGAGAGAGAGGATGGAGGTTCAAACTAGCAATCAACTAAATAAAAGGACATGAAAACGACCAAATCACTTGCAAAATCACATGTGATTTTACACTAACGGTCAACATAAATATGTGCCAGTGACGTGGACCGAGATCTCAATTTGCGGCCAAAATTGTGTGAATCACATATGATTTTAATATAATTTTATATGTGATTCGACCTTTTTTTTATTCTCTTATTTAATTATTAATCTTATATAAACCTTGATATATACTTCATGTTAAAAAATTTATATACAAAATTAATTATTCAAACATGATGTAAATGTGACAACATGAACATTTAATATGGAATCCATGAAATATATCACTTATTTGTGGGTATAAAATTCATGAAATATATCATCTATTTATGCATCATATGCTAAGGCAATAGTACTACTGATAGTGGAAAACCTGGACCAACAGATGTAAAATACTTTTATATATATATATATATATATATATATGACGTTATAAATTATTTGTCATATTTTTACTTGAATCTATGAACTCGTTGTGGTGTATATATACATATAAATTAGTTATGTATAAATTTTATTAAAAGTCGATACTGAAAAATTAATACAGTTTCTCATTAAAAAGGAAATCTGAAAATCATATTTGAACATAAAATAGAAATTATAAGCATTTGTAATTATACATATATGTACATAAATGTCTAAATATATTAAATTGCTTTCATTTTGTTCTAAATTTTTTTGGAGACACATGTCAACAGACATAATATCTTTTATATGAAAAAAAATTATTACTGTCATCTAGACTAATCTCTCAAGTCGTTCCCATTACAATCACACTCTTAAAAAGATTTAACATAGAGCATCTCTAACAATTATGTTATTTTAGAAATTTTGAAGATTTAAGAAAATACCAGTATGAAATTTTTTTATGTGAATATTTGTTTGACTAAAACTTTGAAAACTAGATTAAGACGTATCGATATGAGCATCGAGTTAAATAAATAAACTATTCATATAAATAAAATACAAGTATTTTATTATAACTTATTTAATTAAAAAAACTAATTATATTTAAAATAGTTAAAATTTCAAAAATTAAGATAAATTTATGGAGTTTTTCGGTTGGTTAACAATCAAATTTTAAAAGTTGTTTTTAAATATTTTATCTATATTATATTATTAAGTATTTGACAAAAA